ACACACACACACACACACACACACACACACACACACACACACACACAAAGATGAAAATCTACAAACAAAACAGACCACTGGAACAGGATGGGACAGTCTGGAGAGTGAGTGTGCCCCAAAGGCCTGGGCATTCTACTTGCTCACCAAGTAGAATGTGGTGCTATTGGGGAGAGAAGGGGGGGGAAGCTTTAGGAGGTGGCACCAGTGTGACCTGGAACAGGAGTGGGCCACTCCCTATTCCGCCTCCTCACTATTTCCTCTCTGCTTCCCCAGCCACTAGACCAGCGGTTCTCAACCTGTGGGTCAGGGGTTGCATGCCAGATCTCCTGTGTGTAAAATATCTACGTTACAATTCAAGTAGCAAGATTATGAAACAAAAATAATCTTATGGGGGGGGGGAACTAGTGAGGTGTTTCAGCGATTAAGAGCACTGGCTGCTCTTCCAGAGGTCCTAAGTGCGATTTCCAGCAACCACGTGGTGGCTCACGGCCATCTATAAAGGGATCTGGTGCTGGCATGCAGGTGTACATGCAGACAGAGCACCCATGCATTAAAAAATCTGTGCAATCTTTTTTAACGGTCACCGCAGCATGAGGAGCTGGATTAAAGGGCCGCAGCATCAGGAAGGCTGAGAAGTGCTGCCCCAGGAGGTGAGAGGTCTCCATTATACACTCCATGCAGTGGCAGTCACCACAGGCCCAGGAACAGGAGCCGACAGCGCAGGCTGCAACCTCTGAATCTACAGCCAACACCGTTCCTTATTTAAGGTGATTTTCTCACCCATTTTTCACAGCAACAGGAAGCTGACAGGAGGGTGGTGGCATAGTTCCAGACCGGAAATGGCAGAAGACAAGTTCTCTGAGCTGCTCTTGCGCAGGACCCGAGTGTGGTTCTCAGCACTTCTGTCCCAGCACATGCCCAGCAACATAATTTAGCACATAATTTAACGGGCCATTTTAAGTTATGAGCTAGCCAGGGAAACGCCTATATGGCCTAAGTATTTGTATGCTATTTAAGGAGACTAATGAGTTGTTATCCCTGGAGCTAAGGGATGGGAGAAAAAATTACGTGTCACATGTACACTGCAGTGTGTGTGTGCACACACACACCAGTGATAATATTAGTTATAAAACGTGAAAATAAAAAGCCACTCTCAGATTGTGGTCCTTCCCACCAGCTGAATGTCACAGCTCCTTAACTTCTCAAAGCTCTGTATCCCAAGCAATCTGTCACTGGGTGCTGGGCTCTCAGGACACTTGCTAGAACACGAACCTCAAATGCATCTATACTCCAAAACATGTCAGCTCTGCTCCAAGTTCCCCCACAGTATGTAGTGAGCCAGCACCGAATGAGGGCACCTTTATGATGAGGACCAACATGCCAAGGCAGCTGCCAACACAAATGTGCCCACCACCCTGCCAAGGTCAAGTGAGAGCAAAGCAAGACCTTCCCTTCCAGAGATACGCAGCCACTGAATCTCAGAACTTACGGATCAGTCAGAGCCAAAAGCCCGAGGAACTGCAAGTTCACCAGGCCCCAGGGTATAAACAGAGACCTTTAAACGTGCCCTCAAAAGGACCACTCACCCAAAGTTCATACGAGCCAGACATGGTGGAACACAGGCTTTAATTCCTGCACTTGAGAGGCACAGGCAGGTGGGTCTCTGAGGCTTTGAGGCCAGCCTGATCTATCTACTGAGTTCCAGGCCAGCTACAGCTACATAGTGAATGCTGGGATTAAAGGCACACACCACCATGCCTGGCTGGCGGTAAAGATTTAAAAAGAGCTGGAGGGCAGAAAAGCAGGAGGCTTGGGGTGGGAATGAGAGGTGATTGTACAAATTCTGCTCAGGGGAAGAGGGGCGCCTGCCTTTTCTTTCTTTCTTTTTGCAGATGTGGTCGGAACCTGGGGCCTCAGGCACACTGGGCAAGTGCTGAGAGCAGGCGACTGAGCTGCCTCACTTAGGTAGCCAGCACGAACTTTCCGAAGGCTGCAGCGGGGGCAATGTCCCCAAAGCAGCTGTGGGGGCGGGGCCGACTTCTTAGGCCACTTCCCAGGCTGGCCACAAACCCATGACCACACCCCAGTCAGCAACTCCTCAAACTCCAGTTAGTACAGCTCATGCCAGAGTGGATCCTGAGGTGCAAACCTTCAGAGGATTCCTCTTATTAGAGACGGGATCGTACCGTGATGGCATTACGGGAAAACATAAGCTGGGCCTTCAGCAACAGCGGAAACTTCAGCCGAGGCAACAGTGAGATTCACACTCTGCTCAGGTTATCCCCAGCCACAGGCGGGAAACACATCAGCTCCCTCCGACTCAGTAAAATGTTTTCTAATTATCCAGAGGGCTTTTTCTCCCTAAAACTAAATACCGGGGCTGGGGAAGCAGCTCCGTGCTCCACACTCTTTTGGCCTCTGGTGCACACACAGCACACACCTGGCATAATTACACGCGTGCAGGCAAAACACTCATTAAATGAAAAAAAAAAAGTATATAAAAACAACAACAAAAATAATAATAAAGCCAAGGGGCTGGAGAGACAGCTCAGTAGTTAAGAGCACTGACTGCTCTTCCAGAGGACCCAGGTTCAATTCCCAGTAACCACATGGCAGTTCACAACTGTCTGTAACTCCTGTTCCAGAGGATACAACACCCTCACATAGATATACATGCAGTCAAACAACAATATACATAAAATAAAAAGTTAATTAATTAAAAACAAAACAAGCCAGCTAACTAACCGACAGCACCAGGTGTCCAAACACTGGCTACCTCTAGCTTCTCCTGGTTAGGCCAAGCTGTCTGTGTCCAGCAGAGCCAGAAATGCTCTAACGCAAAGCCCATCCCTGCTCCTCTGAGAGGCGACTTGGAGCCACCTCATCAAGAAGAGCAACCAG